TTAACCTCTTACGCATTAAGCAAGGTGAAAAAACGAAAACGATGCCATCCAAAAAACGAATCACCGAATTTTGACAACAACGCATTTCTCAACCAAAAACCCAGTAAACAAACCAGCCATGAGGCTCCCAAACTAGCTAAAAGTGTGAGAGTAAACATTGGGTTTCCTGTGGTACGGACGGACGGTCGGCGGTCGGCGGTCGGTGTACGGTCACGTGATTACCAAATTTTCTGGGATGGGTAGATTTACTTAGCTATGGGGCTCCGCTATTGCGTGTTATGCTGTGTAAAAAAAAACAACAACAACAAGGCAAAAAAAAAAACAAATAAGGGAGATTTATAATTGTGCTATTTACAATTTGCGATGAGAAGGAGGAGGGACTCTTTAATGTGGCAATAATGTATATTACTAATAGCTACCGTGCTGGCCATTGCAACTGGTAATTCTGTAGTTCCAACTGTCACTCTCCGTATTTTAGTTCTTTATGGAGAACTGAAACCATCGTTCTTTCTAAATTAAATAAGCCCCCTCTCTCAAATAAGCTTCCCCCGTCTCTATTACGCGCCTCCCCCCCTCAAATGGGCTTGAAATAAAAATTTCAAAATGATACTAGCGTACTTTACATGAAAAAGAGTTACGCTACACTTTATCCTGAAAAAATAATTAAATCAATATTTATACTCGATATCTGAAATAAATAAATAACAATGACAGACAGAAAGAAGGGGTGGGGAGGGTAGACTCAATTAAGAGAACATTTGATTTTTTTTCCCATTTTTTTTGTCATGAAATTCTACCTTATTCAGGCGCATAAATGCTTTTCTATATTGTGTATTGCTCCGATTTTTGTTTTTAAAACCCGCATTGCAGGTTTAACACCATTTAATTTACAGCGATAAATGTCAAACTTTGCCACTAGAATAACGTGATTTACAATGACAAAATCTTCCCCTGCATTGAATATACCAAATAAAACTTTAACAACCTACAAAGGTTCTAAATTGATATTACATTATATAAACCAAGAAAGGAGAGCTACCCAAAAGGATCTTGTTATTTCGCAATTGTAAAAAGGATGCTCAAGGATTTCAATCTCGTTTTTGCAAAAGATACATTGTGGCGAATCAATAATCTTAATTTTAAATAACAATGTTGTGAGAATCTTATATTCGAGAAACCCATTAAGTCGAAATTCCCACCAGATAGAAGGCAAACCATTTTCCTTTAGTAGGTTCAAAAAGTGGCCACTAATAGTCTTCTCGTAAAAAGATCGGAATGAGGCGAGGGCAATAAACGTCTTTCTCCTGTCCAAAATATTAGTTAGAGGAAGACTGACACTAGTCAATGATTGTAACGCTTCGAACCATTCCGAGCTGATTTCGTAGACACTTTGTAGGGTCAATGTTTTGATACAGACAAACTGGAGCTACTCGTTTGGTCGCTGGTTACAATTTTCGAGCAATAGAGGGCGTGGTCGATCACGTGACCAACTAATTTGGATTTCTTTTTTCAAGATTTGTTGAGTTTACTTTAGTTTACCACATATCTTTCCTCGTGGATGTCTTTAACACTAGTTTTTGGAAAATGTACTTAAAACCATAAATTACTGAGACCCAGGCCTTAATCTATTTTGAGCGCCATTTTGAATGCATTGTAAAGAGACTTCGATGTGACCGAAGACAGATCGACATCAGTGTTATCAATTTTAAGGTGGACCGTGTTCCTCAATTCGCAGGACGTACGTAATGAGCACTTTGTTTAACACGTTTTCTCATTCAACATGTACCGCGTCCATAAGACCCGTTAACTTAAAACGGTCAATCGGAGAGGGTCCCTGTTAACCCTTCTAAAGAAAAGATCGCCTACAGTTAAAAAGTCTTCCTCCGTCAAGAGATGCTTTTCAAAAACCAAATACTTCTTGATGATAATGCGTTAATTGCTCCAAATTACTTGGTTCGCGACGTCCTCGCATGAAAGAATATTTTGTTTATTTAGCCGAGACTAGGCATCAAGACATTCTTTATAAAGCCGGAGGGTAAATTAGAAGTTTTCTTGTATCGAAATTACAATGTAGTATGAACTTATCCCCTACCTCAGACAGGAAATAGTCCAGGGTTATTTTCCAGGAGCTATGTTTTCCTCTTCTGCGTTTTTTTTTTTTTTTAATACCATTACTCTCTGTGCGCAAATCATTGAATGAATATCCAACATTTTCAAACCACCATCATTAATATCATTTATAAGCGCAGATCGTTTGATTCTATCATTTCCTTTTCAAATAAAGTGATAAATCAACGTGTTGATTCCTTTAACTTGGTCTTTAAGTAATGAGATCAACGCTGCTTTGCTTAGAAATTTCAGAATGATAAAAGACCTCAAACTTGTCTAGAAGTTTTGTCTTGTCAAACTTGTCTTGAACAATTGATAACTGATGGTCCTCTCCCAAAATGTAACTACAATTAGTTACTACGCAAATCTCATCCTTCTAAATTCAGATAAATTGAAAAGGAAACTCCAATCCGCCTTGTAAGAGTAAAAATACTAAATCTTTATTTCGTTTAACCCTCTAGATTATACAAAAATTGTCAATTACAACATTTTTTTTATAGGCTTTAAAGAATTCAAAGTACTATAGTTCCTGTTACTCTATACTGTCGTTAATTTTTCTTCTAAAAAAAAAAAATCGAGACCTCAAAGATTTTGCCAGGTCTTCGAGATTTTGGGCAGCAGGAAAAAAGCTTAGGCTCAAGTTAGGTTGTGTACGGAGGGCTGAAAAAGTACTCTTTACCACAACACCTGCCTGCAGTTTACTTCGGAATTATGAAAAAATCATTCTCTCATTTTCTCTTAGGTCAGCTAACATGGTCAGTTTCCCAGAAAAGAATGATGATCCGAGTTCGAGGCTTATAACTGGGGGACGGGCTAAAAATGATGCCTTTAAGTTTACGGTAGCTCTGCAACGAAGTTCCAACTGAGATGTTAAAAATGGCGCTAACAAGAGCGCAGTTAACCACTAAGTTAATAAATAGTAAAATTTAGTAAAATTTAGAAGAGCATATTTTAAGATAATAAAATACCAGGAGCGCGAAAAAGTGCCCAAACATATGTCTAAAAATAAACTGGCCAGTAAAAACGCCGTGACATAGGCCTAGTATGGGAGATGCTCGCTCCGAGTTATGGGCTCCTGAAAATACTCATAAAGGTAATGTAACCTGTTGCACGGGACGACGATTTTTAGCGCTACACAGTGCAATCTCGTACCTCTAGTACTTGAGACAATGTCGTAACAATGCTGCAACTCTCTGTTGCACTAAAAATTGTGATTGCGAGTCGTCTTGTGTAACATCACCTTTAAAAGCAAGAAAAGGGGGCACACGGCCTAACAAGTACCTCACGCATGCGCACTGAAATATCACCCGGGCAGTGGCAGCCATGGACAGCTGTTTTGCTCTTATTAGGGATCAGCATTGTATAGCAGTCAGGCCTATAAACCAACAAAGCCGTATATCATCAGCCATGGGTTGGTGTACGTGTGTCACTTACTCTGTTTGGTCAAGTTCCAGCAGTGTAAATTGTCATTTTTATTAGCACTGAGCTCTTGGTGCTTCGCGATCCAAAACGTTTTCAGACTTTCAACTTGACGTTTTGGTTTTATTTTATTATCATTCTCATTATTAACGTAGAAATTACTGGGGTACTTCTTGGCACCATTTTTAGTGCAAAAGTTTGATTTTTAAAAAAAAAAAAAAAAGAGCTTGGCTTGGTTACTATTAAAAACTTGAAGAAATTGCCTTTTTGAGATGAATACAACCTTACTTAGTATTTACACCAACCAGCCATTACTATATATCCTTTTTCCTGTCTTTACTTTTTGACGGAAATGAAAACCCTTGAAATTAAAGGGTAACTCAAAGTTATCGAGACAGATGACATAAAAGGTAAGTGGAACTGATCAACATTTGCATGGAATATACGTTTTGTACAAGTTCGCCGTTTGTAAATGGGGGACATTAAGAAAAGACTTCAAATGTATTAGAATTCTTTGCTTTGGTTAGGAGCCCATCTGCTTTGGTGAAAACGTGTTCCTAGGTATTACTCTAACTTGGAGAGCGAATGGCGAAATTTCCATGGGGAAATAAAATTGGACAAGCAAAATAACCACCAATGAGAAGCTGAAAGTCCTTAAAATGTACTGCGCAGCGGCCAAAACACAATTTTTTGTTCCTTATCTTATTTATGCTATGCAATGTTATTATGTGCGATCTAGTCTCCAACGACATAAAGATTGTCTTTCCCGCCTCGGTTTTATGAGCCCACTACATTAGAAGAAAGTGAATCAATGCGAACAAAGTTAACTGATTCTGGAAAACTTATAAGAACAAATTGAGTTTATGATTAAGATTTTAAATCCTCTTCAGCTTTCAAGGCACAAAGAAACTCCAGTTTTATTGATAATAACGTGTAAGTGGAGGTAAAAATGATGTAAAATTGAACAAATTCAAGGCAAACTCTTTTGTTCTTTAAGTAAACTATCATGACCGGCATTTTCTTATTATTCATTTTCGAAAATCTAAAATAATTATAAAAGATCATAAAATTTCAAGACTGACCGCTAATTTCGTATTCCTTTGACTGTTTTTTCAATTTTAATTTACCTACGGCTTCTCTAAAAATCGGCAATCTAAAACTGTATATGACAGGATTAACGAGAGAATTGGCCAGGTGTAATACTGTAGAAGCGTAGATAAGAGGTATTGGGACACATCTATGGCATGAAAGCTGTGAACAGAGAAAAATACGGTGCTTGGAAGCCACTGATCATGACTGGCCAAGAGATACAGCTATCATAATAAACAGAGTCCTGGGAAGTTCAGTGCTATGTTTCCCACCATTAGGTCTGTTTTCGCAGTGATTTTTAACCATTGTGGGATACCGTCGACAAGTATTTCTCTTTCTTCTGACAATCAAATAAGTAACACGTATAGTCAGCAAACATGAAGCTAAAATACAGCAGTAGGCCAGGCTACTATCCAATGGATAAAATCCACTATTCCATTTACAGCAAGCAAAGAGAAAAACTGCGGTTGAAATGCGGTTGAAACATTCCCGTAGAATTCTTGGCCAAATCGCTGTGGTATTCCGACTGTTCCGATCGCTACTGGTTCTGTGAAGCCGATAATCAAGTCCGCTACAGCCAAGTTAATTAGCAAAACGAAGTGCGTTTTAGCTTGTTTTGATAAGACCAGAAAATGTATACAGTGAAGGTGTTGGCAGTAAAAATGAGGAGTGACTCAAATGCGGCCATACTGCATATTACAATAGCTGTAGTGCTAGCCATCTCACTTAATCATTGTACACGTTATAACTCAATATTTCGCTTATTTCTTCTCGCATTCGAATTCTCTTGTTTCTTCAGTCACTTGTCCCAGGCTTTAATGCGGCCAAATAAACAAACGCAACCCTCACCTGAAAAGCAGGTGTCGGTTATCCTGATTGCAACGGCCTCCAAGCAGTTTACAATCCAAACCGGTATTATCAGAAAGAGAATTACAGCTACCTGCTCAAATGCCACGATATCTTCGAATCTTTTATCATGATATTCACCGGCCTAGCTCGGCCTCTAAAATCACAAAACACGAAAATGTCGTTTTAGCTCCGTCATCAATCTGTTATTTGCTTCAAAACAAAAGCTTTCGTCAAAAAAACTGACTGCTCCTTGTAAAAACTGCCGACTAGAAATAGGGAAAATTTATGTATCATCACCTGCGCCCGATACTTATCAAGAATGAGCTAAGAGAGCAAATCCCTGTACCCCATGATAATTATTTGAAATCTATTTAAAGTTCGCTTGCGTGCGGCGGCGGTTACTTTTGCCTGCAATTTCCGTGACCCGCGCAGTCTACTTTCACGTGAACGCGACATATTTCGCCACCAAACAGCAGTTATCGCAATTAAATTCATTGCACGTTTTCTACAAATTATGCGACAGGTAACATCTTTTGAAGAAACTATTTGTTTTAGACTAGGGAGTGAAAAAAAAAAAAGTTGACATAAGAGCGATAATATGTGAATTACTCGGTGTAACAAACGATAGATTTTGACTCCACTATACAACATCAACAGACAAAACGTAATGGCAAATAAGTTTATTTTGGGACGGCTTGGCGAGAACCAACCCTACAAAGTATTTATGTAAATACAATAATAGGTGAATACTGGTGAATACCTAATGTACAACACTTGTAAACTAGCTTTCACAAAAAGATAAAACTCGTGCGACAAATGGTCGCTCTTGACCTGAATCTCCCATTTAAGCACACAGGCTTAGTGCCAGTTAGGCTGCCAGTTATTCTGGGGAAACTAATTAATAAAACTCAGACAACGCATAACTGGCACGAGGAACACGGTAGGAGCACAGAGGCTAAACAAAAAGAAAAAACTGCTCACAACTGGTCGATCTCGACCTGAATCCCCCAAATAAGCACACAGGCTTAGTGCCAGTTAGGCTGCCAGTTAGGCTGGGGAAACTAATTAATAAAACTCAGACATCGCATAACTGGCACGAGGAACACGGTAGGAGCACAGAGGCTAAGCAAAAAGAAAAAACTGCTACAACTGGTCGATCTCGACCTGAATCCCCCAAATAAGCACACAGGCTTAGTGCCAGTAAGGCTGGGGAAACTAATTAATAAAACTCAGACAACGCATAACTGGCACGAGGAACACGGTAGGAGCACAGAGGCTAAGCAAAAAGAAAAAACTGCTACAACTGGTCGATCTCGACCTGAATCCCCCAAATAAGCACGCAGGCTTAGTGCCAGTTAGGCCGGGGAAATTTAATAAAACTGTGATCAACGTATAACTGGGACCGGGAACACTTCAGGAGCACAGAGGCTGAGTGCCAGGAAAACTGGGAATTATCTCCACTAATGTACCCAACAAGGCACGTAGCTCAATAACCAGTAAGGCTGCCATAAAAGGCTAGGGCGGGACATTGAGGGTAAACAATGAATAACGACCCTGGCTAGAGGTCTGTAACATTGCCTGCAACCTAACTGCGTCAAACGAGACTTACGTCGCCTCCTAAAGAGCGGTTCCGGGACAGCTGACCTAAGCATTTATGGAAACTAAATATATCAAGTAAAGGAGCAGGTGCAAAACTGAGATAACTAGTGTACAAGTACATAAAATAAGAAACGGGAAAAAGGCTGAAAACTAGCAGAGCTGAGCTACCGCTTACAAACTGAAGTAAATGCGGTCAGACGGAGGCCAGAAAAAACCTGCCCAAAAAAACCCCGAAGGGAAAAAATGCGGGCAGGAAATCTGGGTAGGAACCAAGGCTCAAGCTCAAAGCCCTTCCTACGGGACTTTACAATGTAATCGAGAATATGTTGCTCCTAAAAATAAATAAAACAAAAATTTAAGAAAAACCAAGGAGAGGTTGGTTCGTAAGCCTAGATGACGAACACGTGATATACGCAGCCTTATATACCCCCGATATGGCTACCCATAGTGCACCCGGCCTAGTATCCAGGCCCTGTTGTATCTCGTGCCGTCAAAATATTTATTTCTGCCTTCTTCGCGGGCTCATTCGTCAGAAATAACATATTTTGACTCCACTACACAACATCAACAGACAAAACGTAATGGCAAATAAGTTTATTTTTGGACGGCTTGGCGAGAACCAACCCTACAAAGTACGTAGAGTGACAAAGTATTGGGCGAAATGACAAATGAAAGCTCCTAGAGCCCAAGAAACTTGGAAACTGAAAGCCTTTTTTCTAGGTCATGATCGGTTGGCGTCCTTGGCTAGAACGGACTTTCAGCGGCCGAGCCACTGAAACACACTGTCACAAACCCCATTATAAGCAGCGAAGGTGGCCCCTCACGAACGCAAGGAATATAAACCAAAAGTGGAAGAGTCAACCCCGACAAGTCTCAGGTCCTTGCGAAAAGCCTCTCTAATTGTGGTATAGCTGATAGGCTCGTCCTGGGAAACTAACTAAAAAGAGTTGTTCCCAAGAAACATGGGGCAAAAATGAGATCCCCGGAGCTAAAGGGGATGGAAAAAAAGAGCAAGGTACCTCTTTAGAAGCTTGACAGGACAAGCAGGGCCAAACATTTCCGAAAAAATCACTTCGAGTCATCGTCCTTACAAAGTTGGTCGTTCTTGCTTTTGAGAACCTTAATGATCATGAAACCCTCATGAAACAAAATATAATACCCCCTAATTATGGAGACCTCATCAAACCTAAAAACGTTTTGAAAACACACCTAGCCCCTTCAATAATCGAGTTATCCCTGGGAGAGGGGATACCCGCCATGGTATGAACCCGTTTAATACCATAAACATCCGAGTCTACGACGCACGGGGAGTGCGACTCTTCAATGAGGTGTTGCAAATACAAGGCAACATGGCAGGGACTGGCAGGACAGGCCCAGGAATGAAGCTTACTGGCAGCAAAACATTTTTACTTGCGAGAAGCACGAAGGTACACCACTGTCGTACTAACTGCCTTTGAGGAGAGAACCGTCGAATGCATTGTAGACTGTCTGTCAGCCTCAGGGTTCAACCCTCTGGTGGGAAATTCTGGGGCCCGCGCTAGAAACCAGAGCGGAATATATCTGAAAAGTAATCGAAAATACAAAAGAAAGTGTGAGGATCACGAAATAAAAAAGAAAAAACACCGGAAAAGGGAAGTGAGAGGAGAGTGGGCGGTGGGGGGGGTGGGGGGTCAAAAGGCTTCATGCAAAAACCTAATGGGTCCAAACCTAAAGGTACGCATAACACGCGTGTAGAGGCACAGGCAACACTTTCCGTCAGGCGGCGTAGAGCAGAAGCCCGCCAGGGACGAGGGAGGTGTGGGGCGCCGAAAATAAACTCGAAGCGCTATGACGCCAAAAAATAAAGGCCTGGTTCTGAAAAGGGAATTACGGACCTTCCCTGGAACAAATAATCCCTGGGAACTTAAGCTATAAAACCCAGTCCACAACAAAACTATTCCAATGCACTCCATCTCTAGTAGAAACATTTCAGAAAATAGCTGACTTCCATACGTGAGGAATAAGGGCTCCCGTGAGCGCGGCAGAGCCCAATGTGTCTGATATACATGACTCTGACAATGAGGCAAACAGGTGGGCCACGCCAGTTGTTGTCCTATCCCCAATTTTAAGCGAAGGCATAAACAGCCTAACAGCCTGGCTGAAAAAATAGAGAGTTAAGCCAAGGCAACTCGCCGTTGTAACTACAGGCGAACCAGTCAATAGTGTAAGGACCTAAGAGGTGATTAAGCCCTAGCAAAACAAAATCGTTGAGGCCGTAACCATCGAAGTCAACGAGCTTGCAGACACAGACCGCACTAGCGTTCAGGTCCCTAGGGATCCACTTGACCTCGAACGAAATACAATGATGGGAGCAAATTTGAAAAACAACTACGGCTAAATCCTTGAGATCGCATTTCCTGCTGCCGTCGGGAAGAATGGATTCGACGTTCTGGTTGTCACAATACCAAAAAACCTTGGAATTAGATGAAGGGCTCGCGAAGGCTAGTAAGGCAAGACAAACCGCTTTGAGCTCTCTTCAAGTCGATCTACGAACACTTTCCGACCAATTCTGATAAAAAATCAACTCAGGTTCAGACTCCACTTAAACGCCGCAGGCTGAATCGGAAGCATCGGAGAAGCCGGAGCTTACTCTCACTGGAAGCGAACTGGAACCCCTCGATAAATTTTGCTGTAGAGAGGCTAACATTGTTCGACCAAAATTCAATTTCATACAAAGAATAAACGGACAGGAAAACCTAGCTATCCCAGGAAACAGCTGAGTAAACAACTGAGAAAAGAAATCGGGCCATAATGCACGCGACGGATCCCACGCTACTCGAGAGGGAAATACTATGGGCGGCTACACACGGGACGCGTAGAACGTGTACTGTGGTGGACGACTAATATGAAGACAAAGCCGCCAGGTCGCGAGACAATTTAGCAATGCGTTCATCCGTGGCTCTAATACTTCCATCCAGAGTGATATGTTGAGATGAACGCGAAGCCACTAGAAAATTCGAACGGGCTCCCACAGGGACTTTTCCTCATAGGAATTCGAACAAAGCGAGACTAAAGCAAATCGGCATGAACAGCCCGCAAACTGTAAATTAAGGCCTGAACGCGATAGGCCCCTCCTCCTATAGCTAGACCATAGTCAAGAAAAAAATGGCAATAGGGATACCTTGGCTTCTTCTAGATTTCTGAAGCGGTTTGAGGAGGCTGACAAGAACCCAAAGGAAGCGCGCAAAGTAGAAAATACCTAAAAATCCAGGTGCCGAGATCCCAGGTGAACGCAAGGAAATACTGGTGATCAGGGAAAATTACGATAACCGCACTAGAGGTAAAATATGAATAAATAAAAACCATATCAAAAATATAAGTGGCCATGGACAAGTCTTCGCACTTGAATTTCTGTTTGAAGAAAAAAAGTGCAAACGTGCCTAAAATCCAGGATCAACCTTTGTTAGCCGGAGCGGCGCGTCAAACAGAAAGCGGGTAAATGATATTGGAATGCAAAAATTTTTAAAAGGAGGTTGAGGCTGGGAAGCTCTTAAACAGCTACGGACAAAAAGAACTGTAAACACGTGCAGAGGCATTGTAGGATTTGTAAAAAAATAAAAAAGCTGGAAGAAGGAATTTGTAACTAAGACTAAAAACATTCAAAATGAACAGAAAAACTAGCAAAGTATGCCAGAAATAGATAACTGTGAAAAAATCTTCCCAAACTGAAGGCAGAATAGAAATATCAACGGTACACTCAGAGCTCTAAACCGCGCCTAAAACTAGCGGGGTGAACGTCAAAAGAAACTGGTATAATATCGAGACAATCCTGATCCATATTACGGCTTGCCGCCTAAAAAATTCAGTACTAAATTAGAATAGACTGCACCTGATTGTTGTCCTTCATCTAGCCATTTGGGAGTTTGGGATGTTTGGCTTGTCCATCGTCGAGTAACAGGAACGCTTTCCACGGGCAAAACAGGTCCCGACACTGGGTCGTCGAGAAGGCGAAAAACAGGAACGTTTGACATGAGGCTGGGGTTGCATATGTGAAGTTGAGGTGGACGCCGGCGTTCCCACTGGCGAGGATCTGTTTTTGAGTGGTCTTCTTCTTCTTCTTACGGGCCTAGTACGCTACACGGCCGCAAATTCTGCACTGTGGATCCTTTAAAACTGGTTTTCGTTAGCCTTCTTCTTGAACTTACGTGGTTCGTTATACTTTAGTTTCTTAATTTCCTTCATCTGCTGCTCGGCCAAATATTCATTAGCGCGCTTGATTTGACCATCGGTTTCTGTTAACAAAACTTTAAACGAGTCCATTAACTGTTTGTTATTCTCCTCAATGAGATCGGACACTTCGTCTTTGCTGACGGATATAACGCAAGAAAGAGCCGATAAGAACGTTAAGAAAAACCAAGGAGAGGTTGGCTCGTAAGCCTAGATGACGAACACGTGATATACGCAGCCTTATATACCCCGATATGGCTACCCATGGTGCACCCGGCCTAGTACCCAGGCCCTGTTGTATCTCGTGCCGTCAAAATATTTATTTCTGCCTTCTTCGCGGGCTCATTCGTCAGAAATAACATTTCTTCTATCAGGTGAGGTATAAACTTTAAAATCCATCTTATAAGCCCCTACTTATACCTTCCCCCCACTCCCTGCCAAAAATTTATAGGCCCCTCTACCTGTAAACAAAAAGAACATTCCATTGAAAGCCCCTCGGATATAAGCCCCTTCGCTTTATGTGCCCTCCTAAAGCTCCTAAAGTTGGGTTAGGTTTTGTTCTCATTTTTCATTTTCTTGTTCCCCGTTCCCCGTTTTCCGTTCCTCGTTTTAGTAACATCCCGCCTTAGGGTAGTGCGACCTCGAGGAGACGGCGAACATTTAGACCATTAAGGCTAACTTCGTAAGGGTTAACGAAAGAAAACAACAAAGGTACATCTGCTGGCTGAGGTCGACCCGTATAAAAAAAGGCAGCCGGGCCATCAGCACCTCAATTGTTTCTTAACGTAGCTCAGAGCTGAAAAAAAAAGAAAATACAGCACTTGGACGTGTGTAGACCCCACTGTACTGTGCAAATCACGTCCTTCTCGATCTTCTCAGGTATGTTATGCAGGTTTGTAGGCAACGCTTTTAACAGAGAAGCTAAATCTTTACTGCCTCTTCAAACGGAGGTATTGGTCTGTTTACAATAAAGGTAAGGTACAGTACTTATTTTATTGTAACAAAAAAAACCACCAGAACTAAATAATGAATACAGGGTAGCCCGTGTAGCAGGCGCTTGGAAGTAGTGGGCGCAAGAAAAAACGGGCGCGCGAGAAGGAGACTCACTCCTCGCGTGTCTCCCTCGCGCGCGCCTGTTCTCTCTTTCTCCCACTACTTACAAGCGCCTGCTACGCAGGCTAAATACTGGGGTAAATTATACAAAAATGGGTAATTACAAAAAAATTGGGGCTATATAAGAATGAACGTGTTAAAGTTCCTGTTACTCTATATTGTCATTATTATTATTTTCTTATTTACAAAAATCACTAAATTTGCCTATGACTTTACAGGTTTGCTGTTACACTGGACGAAAAAACGGATTTGCCTAAGTTTGCTAGTTGAGCAAATCTATTGTAAATTTAGGGTACTAATGTTGCTACTTATTTGTTCTTGGTGCAAATTTTGTTCGAAAAGATTTACTTTTCTGCAAAATAAATGTAAAAATATCAAATTTACATATTTTGTTTCACTTTTTACTACCATTCAAATTTGCCGCCATTTTGTTCTCTGTGTAAAAATCGAACGTCAAAAATGAATGTTTGCTTGATATTTTCTGGCATAGCAAAGTTACTGTGTAAATTTATGGTTACTATAAATTTAAATCAAAGAACTTTTACGACCACTTTAACCAACGTTTGCATGTTATATATTTCACGCAAGTTTTGATTTTCCATTGCCCCGTTCAATCACCATCACATTCTTCTTAAAGTTTATCATATTTTTGCTGCAGCTGGTTATTTCGGATTTTTTTCGTTTAGCGTCGAATGCGTTTCCTGATATTGGGTCGGTGGCTCGGAAAAAAAAAATATCAAGAAGTCTCGGAATAGGAGGCCCTGACGTAAAACGTTACCATTTACAATTTGGTGAACAAAATGCACAATATGTGAAAGGTTTGAACCCAGTCATTTCAATAGAGCAGAGTTTCATCGTCCGGGTGGATGTGGTCCTGAATGCACTCCATCGCAAGATCAGCCGCCATGTTTGTTGTTTCCCCAGGCTTCCACGTCGGCGTATGCCAGATCTTGAAGCCTATGTGTCCTTCTGAGTGACCACCATATTATTGTTCCACATTTAAATGACAATTGATTCTTCTTTCATAAATTGTACCATCCAAAACTCTTATGGTTTATACATATGGTTCAGTGATATTGTGAGATCTTAATTTTGGTTCATTTTGCGAGTGACGGCATTTTTTTCATTTTGCGAGTGAAGCCTCTGTGTCATTCTGAGTGACCACGGTATTATTGTTCCACATTTAAATGACAAGTGATTTTTCTTTCATAAATTGTACCATCCAAAACTCTTATGGTTTATATATATGGTTCCAGGCGCGTAGGAGGGGGGGTTCGAAGGGTTCGAACGAACCCCCTTTCAAGTTCGATAATGGCGGACTGAAATACAAATGATTATAACTGACAACACCAGAGAGGCCGTTTTTTAAAAAATCGAAAACTAAATACAATTATTCTGCTCCCAGGCGGCGTATGATGGTGTCTGTTCGATTATTATCTCTTTTTTTTTTGGTAAAATATTGTATAAACTCTGAAGCGAAAAAAAAAAAATAACGATTTCAAATATTTGTAGCCCGTGTTTATACATATGGTTCAGTGAGGCGCTTTTGGAAGTAGTGGGCGCAAAATGAAAAACGGGCGCGCGCGAAAGGAATCTTGAAGTCAGTTCATTTTTCGAGTAAATGCTTGGCTTTATCATGTTAAATAACCAGAATTACGATAATTAATTATTGTTCTAAACAACATGTGGGCTGCCTTAATGTTACATTTCTCAGGGTCTGCGGTTTCCTTTATGTTACAGTTGAGTCATGGCTTGCTCTCCCACCTGTGGGACACTATCAGTTCTGCTCTTGAATGACAGGGGGAATTAATTTATTTCAGTTTTTATTTACACTTAAAAGAGTCTTAATGAAACAAATGGAGATTCAACAGAAAGAAGCATTTCTGCTCTCTACTTTAACACCTGTTCCAAAACATATTATATATTTAATGAAAAAGTTAGTAGGAAGAAAATGCTGGGATTTTTCTCTCAAATATCCTCAAAAAAAGAGGCATTGTAATCATTTACACTGAAAGTACATGCTTGTTTACCAACTTGGGGCTATATGGCTCTTCATTTTTCTTTCAGAAAAAAATTAAAGAACGTGTCAGTTAGTCAGACAAGGACAAGTACCTTGCGTGTATGTCCGTTGCATACATGTCATCAGAGGAGTCTTTGTCTGAAACAGCTGTATCAGAGTGGCATGAAGGTAATTCTTCAGGTTCAGATGAGGACCTCCCAAACAGGGAAAATCTGTGTAAAAGCACTTTCCTGGCAGAGCATTGAGGTTAATGGTTTAATGGCCCCGTTGGACCGCAAAGTTGCATGGTGCAAAGCCAATGGAAAATAGTGGTAACAGAGCACACAGTGAGACCAACATCAAACCTGAAGGGCACCAGATGATGCTCCTGAGTTTGCTCTAACCCTGCACTTACAATAGAAAAAGGAACTTCATTCAGAAAAGAAGAAGACATTTTAGATAAAAATGTACAAAATAATAATAACACTTAGTTGAAGTTGACACCTACAATGTAGTAATGAATATCCTTTGACACCCATGGGAAGGAGCCTCGCGTGTCTCCCTTCTGTATAGAGTATGCGCGGGAATTAGGTGCCTATTGTTTGAATCCCACAGGGTCACAAAGACATTGTATGTCAGCGTTTGTGATTAGCTAGGTTCTTCACGCTGTTTGTGATTAGTCCGATTTGAAATAAAGTGTTGACACAAAGTCACATAATCTCAATGACCTTTGTATGGTATGGGTGGAGCCACAAACTTTCCCTTACCGACAAATGTCTGCAAAATTTCCATCTTTGCAGAGCTGTCTTTGGTAGTTTTGCACCGAATCACTTTACTGAATTTTAAACCTTCCATCTAGTAGCCTGTAAATGCTTTTTTGCAATTTTAAATTCACCCAACATATGTAATGGAATACATCTTCCATCGCAGTGGTGACGCCTGTAAAACACTGCCTTAAAAGTGCCACTGAGGAAAAATGCCATGATCCCATTTTGTTCTTGGCATATTTTTATGAAAAAAGAGTGCATTCACCCACCTACATGCCACGCAATAATGGAATACATCTGCATCCAATACTGCCAAGCAAAACAGTGATCATGTGACAGAAAAAATCCTTGTAGCAAATAATTTTGATTTAGTAAAAAAAAATAAATGTAAGAAATTATTTGAGGTCCCTAAACACTGGGGCTAAATCTTTCATGCTAATACAGTAAATGAAGCACCTGTAAATAAAATACATGTACATGCTAAAAGTAATTAACTGGACTCCAAATGCCAAATCATGATCCTTTTGATTTTGGGGCAAATTTTATGCAAAAAAAAAAAAAAAATGTAAATAATTACAAAAAAAATCACCTGGGCTATATAAGAATGGAACGTGTTAAAGAAGTTCTACAAGTTCCTGTTACTCTATATTGTCATTATTATTATTTTCTTATTTACAAAAATCACTAAATTTGCCTATGACTTTACAGGTTTGCTGTTATCTACTGTTAACAAAAACATTTCTATGGGTCATTAAGATTCGTAAAAAGTAAATTTTACATCACTAATTCAAAAGCGAGCGAAGAGCTCTTGTGTTACATTAAATCAATTCGATCTGATTTTTTTTGCTTATACTAAGCACATTCTATCGCCTAAACGTAGAGCTGCGCCCCCGGTCTTTGTATATGAACTTTGTTTAGTATTATAAACCTCTAACGTTAGTTTTGTGGGACAGGAATACACTTATTGTACTGATCACATTTGGTCCTACATGGAAAATGCAACATTCCAGCGAAAATCAAACTGGAGGAAACAGAAAATTACTATGTTATTCAATTGCCAGCGAGCTAAGGGGAGACAACACACCAGAGCCATTTAAGAGTGTTCGATTATTACATATTTAGCAATTATTGAATGAGGCTGAGTAGGATGTAAAGAATTATGCAGATCAAGGAGGATGTTATCCACGAGCGATATATTTTGTATATTTTTGCATTTATTCCGTGCAGTTTTAGTTAGAAATTCAGCTACTTCATCTTCGGATAGCCGTGAACGCCATTTTTTAGTTCACTCGTCAATAACAGCTAGTCGGCCGCGCATGGAAAACGAGGTTGATCGATCGTCTATTTCCCTCGTTTCCAATGAAATGTATACCATCGAATCGATGATATGTTGCTCGCATCTTCCAAATACGGTAAGCACCAGTTGGCCTTTAAGCCAATCAGAAAAGGGCGCATATATTTTGGATGAATAATAAATTAAGGGGTTGCAGTTCAAAATCAGTCCTATCAAGCAGGAGTCTGTTGAAGGTAACTTTATGAGATATCTTTCCCCAGGAAAACTTATCTGAGTATCTAAAGATCATGGTCTTAAATATAGCAGAGCATGGAAATTATTCCTCCGAGCTCAAATGTTTGACCCATTCAGTAAACCAATTTGGCTTGGCGAGAATGCTAAGCCTCGGGGTATAGGTAGTCACGAGGTCTCATCCACGATTTTTCTCGTTTTCCCAAGACACAAAGTCAAACTTACTGGAAGTGATTCATTATACAAATTAAAACCACCATTTAGCTACAGCTGTATACATTTTTAAACAGGTATAAGTTCACATCCGGCTTCATCAGGATATAAAAGCGAATGTGATCGTCTCAATTAGTGCACATCCTAAGGGTTTAAACTTTTTCATCTAACTGCGAGTATTGCGCCCTGTTCGCAGTATGACGAAAAATAGAGTCTGGTGTTTGGAAACAATTGGAAAATTTTGTACTGGTAATCACCAATTTTTTGTGTTTGCAACTTTGTTAGCATCTGATCTGAGACACGCGAAATTTTTCGTATAACCAGAAAGTTAACCTCAAGTTAAAGGAAGTGTACTGATCATGTTCGCGAAATAAGATGAGCCAACGAAGGCTAGCCGTCAAAGAAAAAAGGAATCTGTTGTAAATGCTTGATTAGTCCAACGGATTTTGGTGGCCGGGCCATACTCCATTCTTTTTAAGCAAAAATCCCAACTGATGAATAAAATATTATTACATCCTTTGAAATTTTAAAGGATTCTAGAGATTACAGCGTCTTTGGCTTTATACCTTTCCCCGGCATGAAAAACTTAAACATTAAAGTTTTTTTTTTGACAGTTCTAAAAGTATCAATTAACAGTGTTAACCTGTGCCTAATAGATTTCATAAAATATATAGAGATATGATATTTTTGAAAAGAAAAAGCTTGTTAGTAATGGTAACAGGACTGAGTGGAGTCCAATTCGGTCTGTAATCATACTCGTGATTAACCAAATCAGATGACCGCGTAGCGGGAGACCGATTTTTATAGTCAAGAGTATGATTATAGACCGACCTGGTCGACACGAAGTTCTGTTACAACTTAATCATAACTTTAACAAAATTTGTGATTTATAAGGCTCTTTTTATAATCAAAACACAAGAAATTCCAAGATTTTTTTTTGCTACCAGTAAAAAGAATCCAGTTAAACGCGCACGTGATGGCGCGTACTGTCCAATTATTTAGGATGATGCGTACTGTCCTATTAAACTGTCCTATTAACGCTAAAATCAGGGCAGTTGATAGCCAATCAGATTTGAGAATTTTGTTATAGTTATGATTTGTGCTGTAACTCAGTTGTTTTGTATAAAATTCCTCAAAGTATTTGTCAAGGCAAAAAGCCGCGTCTTTTAGTTTTTAGTATACAACGGCCTTTCCATCAACAAACACAGCGATGTGTCCTTTCATGGTTACCGTAATTCCATCAAAAAAACGTCTACCTTTATTACGCAGCAGAATTCTTCGCACTAGTTTTCCATCCACAGTGTAAAACTCCACTATTATGATCCCATCCTTATCATTGTAACCAGCGATGACAACATGTTCACCTGCAGAGCGAGGTGAAAACAACATTTCGTCTAAATTGACTCCGACGCCAAATTTGAACTTTGCAACCTCCTTTCCCTCCATTGTGAATACATGAACACTGTGGTAATCGCTGAAGTTTCTTTTAGGGTGCATTATCATGATGCGACCATCGCAAGTAGCAGTGCAATCAGCTAAATACTTGTCGCCTTTACTCTTGAAAAACTCAAAACTACGCTCAAACTCACCATTCTGATTGTACACGTGAGCCTCACATTTTGCCAATATTACTAGTTTGCTGCCGCTAACTATCAGTCTGTGTGATGAGCGTATTCTCCCGCCTTTCACAGGAAACTTGTACTGAAGGTCAGCGGTTTTGTTTAAAACCTGCACTTCTCTCTCCCATCCTCCTTTATTGTACAGTTCGATCAGTAAATAGATCTTCTCGCTAACGTCTTCAGTGACGAGATCAGCAATTAGAATCTCTATTTTAGCATCATCAGTTTGGGGATTAAAACTAAACTCAAACGTACCATTTTTATCGAAAACATGCACGGTTCTCCCGCCCTTCTCTGCAAACAGAAACTGTCCCACGGTGTTAGTAGCAAAGACAATGCCTGCCATCGTCACATCAAATGACAACTCCGGTGCAATGCGGTAGTGCTCCATGTCAACTTTCTCTGATTTCTCCAACATTTGTAACACTCTTACATCGCGCAGAGGGTCAACTTGATCTTCTCCGATGTCAACATATGGCCACACCAAGACATGTACATCTTTACCAACCGTTCGCATGGCATCGTAGATGGTGCGATTTACCTGACACACGATGGAAATTATCTGCATCCGTTCATCTTTACCAAATTGACCTCTTATGTTTAGGAGACCTTTACTGAGCTCCACTTTAAAGCTGTTCCGTACAGCAGGTAACGAATTGAGTATCTCCAAACACTGTTCGCAATATGGTAAGGCTTTCTGCAAAGTGCTTTTCAAGTCGCCCGCGGTTCTCACTGTCTCAGCTGCTGACTTTAACATTGCCGCCATAACACGATATCGAATGGCTGTGATTCGGTCAAAGGTGCTGAGGGCTTCATTGTTGCAAGCGTGTGTCGCGTTTTCAACAGCTAATCTGAAATTCTCTTGTGCGTCAGAAAGCAGACTTTTCGTTGTTTCATCCAACTCAGTTAGTTGCATGTTTCTTATTCCAGCGGCGACGGCAATTGTCTTCCCAGGGTCAGTGTCTGAGGGCAAAGCCAGTTCTTCAAAGTCCTCTTCTTCATTTCTTTCAGATACTTCCCCAGCTTCCACACTAACATTAGCACCGCGCATTGCAACGACTGCACCATTTAAATTCTTGAGTCCTGTTCCAAAAAAGTCTACAGCTGCCTTAAGATCTTTTTGTGATAATGCATCCAACTTGCCCTTGATATCGTTCAATTCACTTACAATCAGGCCACGAAGTTTCTGATCAGTTACGTCGCCGTCTTTCAACTTCTCCGCCGCTACATCTCTTCCTTTTTTCACGATCAAGCCAATTGTGCCTTTCAATACCGCTGATATAATTGCAGACATGCTTCTTCCAATCTAAATCAAACTTTCTGTTACTTCTCGTGTTTTTAAAAGCTATTTGTGCCAAACAGAGATTGAATTTCAGATCACGAGATCTTACCTCATCCATAAGTTCTTTAACTGCTTCATTTGCGTTGACGTGAGAAAATGTGCAGAATGAAGATTGACAGAACGCCAGCAGGTAACAAAGTAAAATGAGTATTTTAAAAATAAACAGTGGGGTCAAGAGCCAAAAATTTAGTCGACAGATGTAGGATTTTTAGAAGATAATTTTGCTCTCTGGGCGGTGTTTACACAACGGCTACATTTGCAAAATCTTTGTCCACTGACTAAATTCATTGCAAATTTTGCATATATGTACATCCATCTCAGGGTGGGAGTATTAGTTTGCTTAAAATAAAGTCAAGTTCCTTTACATTACTACCCTGTAACTACGTAGCTGGTGAATACAGGAATGATTACACTTCAAGAATCATAGGCTGTAACAAACAAAAAATAACAAGGTGAGAGGTGACTCAGATAAACAGTTATTATAAATTTTCAATGCTTTTGATAATCTGTGATTTAGTGAAAGGAGTTTTTGGAAGGAATACAGTTTATAAAATCAAACCCAAAAAATTATTTTTTGGAGCTTCCTTATGAATAGAAAAAAGGTAGTTCCGCTGCAAGGTGCAGCTGTAATCAAAAAAATTCTTAAAAATCTAAACTATATCTTGGTCGTTTTTATCAAAAATTCGACAGAGTAGGGTTTAAACTGTCACAGTCTTTGTGACCCGCAAAAGGAAGTTTTGTTTCGTGTCTAAATACGTTGAGTAAATGTAATTATGATTACTTTATTGCATTAGTCAGTGAGGACGTTTCTGTCCCCAATAACCGAATATCAAATCAATAGCAATAAATCGTAAGTACGTACTGTGAAAAGCAGGAAACACAAACTGTGAGAGTAATGCATCCATTGCCTGGCGTGCGGGGACTCCCAGCGGAGTGACCGGGGGGATGGTCTGTTCTTCTCGCTTAGGGGTAGAAATTGCAGATTTTGGTCTCACTGAGGGTGTAAAAAGTTTTTAACTACAAAGGTATCGCTTGAGGCAAGAGAAGATAAGTTCATTCTCTCTTGCTTACGGTTGCACGCAAAGAAATATCTAAATTATAATTAAATGATTAAAAAAACACACTATCATATTTTCAGTTGGGGCATGGTCCACTTACAGTCTCATTTTGAGGTCCAATATTTAGCCTGAATCACGATCAGAATGCTATTTTTTAAGAGGTTAATTCGAGATAATAATTTCTACGAACATCCCTGTGGCCGTTATCATTCAAGAGTCACTTCCCTTCTTTTTGGAAGAGGGGGTTGGACATCCACTGTCCCGATCTACTAGGCATACTTTCGTTTTAGATATTTTATACAGAGGTCAACAAACAAAAGTATTGACTGTCCGAGTCACAGCATGAAATGGGGTATCTGAAGTCACAGTATTACGGGACTAGCGGGTCGCGGGTAGAGTATGATTTGGAAGTAATTTTTTGTTGCAGGTAAAGTGAGTTGTCACTGGTAAAGCCAGGCTATTTAGTGATTTTACTGATACAGTACAGCCTTTAAGCTAGTAGGTTTCACACCTATCTGAAGCCTCATGAATGTGAAAGAAAACTGGAATATCTTGGTTGTTTTCCCCGTAAACTGAAACTGACCACCGACTCAGTAGACTACGAGCATTCTCTCCTTTTTTATTCTTTATTTTCTCTGCGATACATCAACTTGACACTTGGACTCTTGCCTCCCAGAAGACACGTGGTATGGCGTGATTCTGTGGGTGTTAAGAGTTCTGGGTCAGGGCTTAAAATCAGAGTGCGAGGATATTTTTCACCAGAGCTTTCCCTGATTGTTGCGCCATACTGACGAGTCCCAAAAAGGGCGAAACAGCTGTCTATAGCTACAACCCCGCTCTGCTTTGAGTTCTTTCGGTGTCGTGTTGATGTCTTGCAGAGTTAATTTTCACGTAGTACGATCAGCATTGCAGTATTGCACTATTCTGCTTGCAGAATTTAATATGTCCACAATATTATTTTTGCTGATCAGGTCTTTATAGATCCTACGTTCTTCGGCATATTCGTTTGCGGTCCTTTGCAGTCCTTTGTGGTTAATGTTTCTCCTTTTTTAGTCTTTCGAGTGAAACGCGCGAGACACGTAAATGAACAGGACTCTCGTTTCACGCATCTCGCGTTGTCGCCGCTCGACGCTCGCGCGGACGTACACTGCCCTCACTAAATAAGAAAAAGAGCGACTGCTCGCAGTCTACCGACTCAGTTGAAAGGTTCCCCATTTAATAGATAAATTTAGTCACGAGTTTTCCTCCCCCGCAGTCGCCGTCTCTTTTTGTCGTAGCGAGGCTGGGGAGAGGGAAAAATGAAAGCGCATGATTTTTCATGCAATACCCAGCGCGGGCCTCTGCGGAGCAGAGAGGTCACTACAAAATTGGAGGATACTTATAAAAGTAAATACTATTCTGTCCGTATTGGGAAAAAAAAATATGCATTGAGCTTTTCATCTCGCTGATAAAAAAAAACTGTGCTACCTGAGTCAACGACAATTTTTAACTATTATTTTAAACGGATAGTGAACGAAGTGAACGATCGGCTTTGCTAAAAGTCAGCAGATAAAAAAATAGATCGTGATCGCGGGTTAAAATTGATACCGATATTTTATATTATGATAGTTAAAAGAACAACTTATGAAACTGACCAAGCTGATTAAAACACTTTCGCTATGAAATTTTCACTGACTAAACGTAAAAACAATTATAAGAAATTACAAGTATTATGATATGACGTAACGTAGCTACAGTCACTTCACGTTGTTGTCATAAATTATATATAATATTACGTGTTACATGGTGTGCAAACAAAAACAAGGCAAAAACAAAAGAAAAAAATGCAGATTTACAATTGTACTATTTACAATTCACAAAGAGAAAGAGTCTTAAATACGACAATAATGCATATTACTATTAATAGCTACAGTGCCCGCAGGACATTGCAAGTGGCAATTCTGTAGTTGCAACTATATACCGTAAAATTCCGAAAATAAGTCCTGGGGCTTATATTTTTCAAAGGCCATTTTTGAGGGGCTTATTTTTGGAAGGCCTTATCTATGGAGCTGAAATTTGCGTTTCAAAATCGATTCGGCTAGGAAGGAAATTTACCATTTTTGCTTTGTTTTACTTTGTATTTGAGGGCAATTTCCAAGTAGAAGCCCCCGGTGGCCATATATCTGGAGGGGCGATTTTAGAGGGGCTCATGCAAGAAGGGACTTATTTAGGGAATTTTACGGTATATATGACAGAGAGTGTCGTATTTTACCATCACTCCTAAGACAAAGATGTTTTAAGCACATCCATTAAATCATGCACAAATTACTGCTGGGAAACTATAGGGTGACATTGATCAGTTGAATGAGATGTCTCCAGGGTGATCTTCTTCAAAAGATAGCTCGATAAGTCAGTTTTGAGGTTTTCCCACAACCAAGAGAGAGTGAGCTTATTCTCTCTTGCCTCAACTTATCTTGAATTTTAGAACGATTGATAACTGATCGTCCTCTCCTAAAAGGTATCTACAATAAGTTAGTATGCAAATCTAATCCTTCTAATTTCAGATAACAAGGAAACGCCAATTCGCCTTGCACACTTAAAATTAAAGTGTAACATTACTCCAAAATAAAGTGTAAAATCTTTGCCAGCCCCGGCAGCCTTTTTTTTCTGTGTATTATTACACATTTTATAATAGTGTTATGTTTACACACCAATCAGTGTAATGTGAGTGGTTTACACTTTGGTCAAGTGTAAAATTGCAGTTCTTATAAGTGTAATAAAATACTAATAGAACAGTAATATTACACCGAATGATAGTGTAGTAGCTTTGCCAGCCCCGGCAACCTTTTTTTTCCTGTGTATTATTATACATTTTATAATAGTGTAATTTAACACACAACTAGAGGTTATATTTACACACCAATCAGTGTAATGTGAGTGGTTTACACTTTGGTCAAGTGTAAAATTGCAGTTCTTATAAGTGTAATAAAATACTAATAGAACAGTAATATTACACCAAATGATAGTGTAGTAGCTTTGCCAGCCCCGGCAGCCTTTTTTTTTGTGTGTATTATTACACATTGTCCAATAGTGTAATTTGACACGCAACCAGAAGGTTCATTTACACACCAAACAGTGTAACTGTGAATGATTTACACCTTGGTCAAGTGTAAAATTGCACTTCCCATAGGGGTAATAAAACATTAACAGAAAAGTAATATTACATCAATTTATAGTATTAGGCAAAAAAAATTACGCATTTGAAAAATATAGGAAATCACATTTTTAATCACTGAATAAGCAGCCAGACTTCTAACAATAAGTAAAAATGAAAGGTCAAGTGTGCAAGCCATGGTGTGTACTGTCTAACTGCTTAGGAGTGATGCGTACTGTCCTATCACAAATCAGTGCTTAGGGCAGAGCCGGAGGAGGTTCAAGGTTTGAGCTGCAAGGTGGTACCCGGGAAAGATAGTTAGCAGGACGTCTTCCTCTCTAATTATTAGTATTTTTACAATCATGGTGTAATGCCTTTCCCACAGTAAAAATGGATGGCGATGCATCTTTTTTGCTTCTTCTAGATATTGTCCTCTTGTGGCTGCAACCTGCGTGACAAATGTAATTAAAAAAAAAAAAAACAAGACTTGTTTTAGTCGATATTAAAGTGTTCTCAGTTTATTGTATCGGCCATGAGGGTTGAAAATAGGACCGAGTGTTTTAGAGTTCCTTCTAATTGAACTAACACAATAATGCTCTCTTGACCAACATGGTTAAGGTAAACTACTTAAATTAAATTTCATTCACAAAATAATCACATATTCGGTTTAAGATGTAAAAAGGTGTTTTCTCTAGAGTCTTAACAATCAAGTACATTTTTCCTCCTCTACAAAACAAAACAGAGCTTCAGATATTCAATTC